AATAAGGCGTACTCTGGGAATCGCCATGGCATCCAGCAAGCCATCGTTCACTTTGGCCGAGGCCGATGAATGTGTCCGCCTGGTACGGCTGGCACGCAAGGCAGGATGGTGGAAGTCCGTCTGGCAGCGGGTCGTGGATTTGGACGACCTTGCCGAAGATTTGTCATGGGAGGCCGTGTCTCCTAATGCCCTCGCTGGCTCGATGACTGACGGCTCCAAGCGCCTCCGTGATGAAGGCAGCACGTCGAAGATGGTGACCTATGCGCCTGCCGGATCTGGCCATGATGTCATGAAGAATGTTCCCATGCCCTCGACAGGGTACCCTGTTGGAGCTCCGAGTCCTTCAGTGGCACTCCCAGATGGAGTACCTACCGTGGAACGGTGGGGTCAGACCCTTGTGAGTTTCGGGAAATTTAAAGATGCCAAGACATATGCAGAGCTTTTCGACTCCACGGATGCATCCATTGCGTCCTATCGGAACTATTGTGTGTCCCACTTCAAGAGTGGATCTCCGGGTCTGAAAGACCTTGTTTCGTACTTCAAGGCCCGTGGTTTGAATGATGCAAGTCAGTGCGTCATTCCTGGAAGCCATACCTCTCGGCATTTTAGAGAGGATTGATAGGAGTGTTGATCGACCGCGTATCATGTCAGGACGCCAGGGACTTTCATGCCCAAGGAGGAAAAGGGCCGCATGGATCGCGGCTTCATAGGTGTGTGCTGCCAACATATATATATATATATGCTGTACTTTGGTTTGCCATGGTTTGCCTGAAAAGAAGATAACAGTTATAACATAAAGGATATACACAATGACCCCCCTTACTTTTACACTATATGATGCAACTTTAAAAATAAAAACTCGATCGACACGACCAATCGACTGCCGAACGGGGCCACTGACATGGCCAAGATAACTGTGGCAACCGCCAGGGGGTTAGGACCCAATCCTTTCCAAAGCATTTCCATTTGAGGGCCCGGATTCTTAGGGTAGGGGAAATCATACTGTCTAGTGTTGCGTACTGGGGACAATAGAATTGATTCTTCGACCAAGATCCAATTAGCAACAAAGAGCTGTCCAAGTTGAAATGTTTCTTTTTGAAAGTACTTGAACGGGTTAACAGGGTTAACCACTGAAGATGGGCAACCCTGTTTTCCTGATGTGGACAAGGGAAAGCCAGCCTTGATTGCATGGGTAGTATTATGAGGACAAATGCGGCAGTGAAAGCAGTGAACTCTCCTTTCAGCTAGTGCAGCCAGAACCTAAGTCTTGAGTTACAGTTCAAGACAACCACGCACTTTCAAAGGTAAGAAATATGTCTGGGTCAAAGACAAATAGACACAAGCCACGGATGCATTACCTTCACGGTCAGGTATTGTCCGTGACAATGTGTCGATGTTTCTCTGACTGAACGAATCTAAAAGGCAAACCACCTACCAGCAGTTCCACAAGGATGGTGTATGAAGGCATATGAATATCATATGAAGCTCTCCCTGTCATTGGTACCGTGTTTGGCTCTCCCGCCGGTCTCCCTGTCTAAACGCCACAGCCGGGTGTGTCGGACAGAAAAAGAACACGCCAAGAAACTGCCGCCAGCTTCTCTGGAATCTCTGTGTATTCCGCCACAATCTCCTGAGCCCAAACCCGTCGGGTTCCGGATCCGCGGATCTGCGCGGAGCGCAACGACGCGATCCTGCCTCCAACAAATGCGGACCGAAAGGATCCGGTTCTGGGAAGACAGCTTTGGAATCGTCGGCACGTGTCCCTACAAAGGTTGAAGAACCCTATATCCCAATATATCCCATAGGTACCCCACCCTATAAGGTCACTCAACCTCTCTTGGTAGTTTCAACCTTTTCGATCCAACGATCAGTGTGAACAGCGTGAAGTCAATCGTTGCGGCGCCAAGTTGGGTGCCAAAGCGCTTTGATGTCGGATAGACAGGAGCTTCATAGTCACAAAAATTCAATCAACGGGACCCTTGAACAACTATATATGCATGTCATGTAATACATGTCAATCTACAATTAAAAGGATTGTGCGCGCTATCATGGGTACTTCTAACTGATCCAGTCCTGAACTTCTCAGTTTGTCCCAGGCTTACACATGTCAACCTATAGTTATACGGCTTTGTACTACCAATAGCTGATTCAACCTCCAAATCTGCTCCTCCGACCCGACGGTCCGTAGGCGTCGTGCCTTGAGGCGGTCGCCGGTCATGGTTTCCAACTCGCACAGCTCGTCGGCCACGCGGTCCAGGCATTCACGGTTCTTCATCAAGATGGTCAGTGCATTCCTATCAGTGCCGAGCGCGAGGGAAGCATAGCGGAAAGCGTGAGCGCGGGAAGCGCGCCACGTGGTTTTTTTCGCGGAGCGGCAAAACGTGAGCGCAAGCGAGCGCAACTGTGTAACTCTCAAGGACATGCACCCGGAATTTGATGGATGAGTGACATATATATATATATATATATGAGCGTGGGTCAACAGTTCTGATGAAATTCATGGTCATAAGGGGCTTCTTACGCTATTGCGTCCGCTGTGCTTGCGCGACTACATAATTGCACTTGCGCGCAAAGTCTTCTTCATAAGAGCTTACGCTTCGCTTACGCATGCTTGCACCTGCGTGGTTTGATTGATTTGTTTCCATTTCTGCACGGCTGAGCTTACGCACCCATTTGTTCTGCAAGGAGTTTCAATTAGAAGACACAGACCAAGAACTTGATGAACTTGAACAAGCTTCATCTTTGAATGCCAGTCTTCTTCGAGATCTCTTGGAAGTTGGCATCTTGCTACTTGTGTGCGTTTTCTGTACCATATAGTCACCCGCTGGTCGATTGATCCCCGGCCCATGTTAATATTTGTTTTTTGGTTGCCATCGTGGACTAGGATGCACGAGCGAAACTTTTGTTTATGATGTTTATGCTTTGTTTACGCGCGGCTTACGCACATGTTCACGTGATCTTTCTTTCCAAAACACATGAGATTTGAATGGGATGGACAAGATAGCATTGGAACAAAAGCAAAAAACAAACTCGAACATCCAGATTTTGGATTAGTGGCGTGTGCCGCGAGCAGGTGGGGGCCAATTAATTAGGACATCTACCTACACAACCAAGAGGTGTTCCTGTCCAAGGAGGGTCATGTGGGCGGGTGAGTGTGGACACCAGCAGCTGAACACCACCTGCACCAAGTTTAACTTGGTCTGGTTATACTTCCGAATCTTCCGTTCAGATCCGTTCAGTACTGCTTTCTGCCACTCTATGGATCTCTGTGGGGGAACGAACCCATCGGGGTCCCTCCGCGGGCGTTGGGTGAGAAGATTTCGCGGGTGGTCCTTCACCGGAAGACGAAGGTACCGGGACTATCCAATAGGTGTCCTGGCTGGACTATCCTGCACTTCTTAGAGATCTCCATTGGACACCCAGACAGGATGGTCCAGGTAGAGATGAAATTTGTTCAAGAGGATGATGTAGTGGCTGGGATCGTGTAAACAAATCCTTGTGAAAGCCTTCACCCGCACCAATCCATATCATACATCCACTCATCCATGATCAGTCCGGAGCTCAAATAGCACTCATCAGAGATGTGTTTGATAGCTTCATCAATCTTCTTGCTCAAGTCCTCCGCTGGGCAGCTCGCAGGACAACCGTATTTTCTTTTTTTATCGGCCCAGAAAGGACACTTCTGGTTTCAGGACCCGTAGGGGAAGCCGAATCGCTGGAGTCTCTGCGGCCGCCCACACCGTCAAGTGATCCCGTCTTCTTAAACGACCCCAGACTCCGAATCCTATGAATCCTTAAAAGGGACTGACTGTTTTCAGGTCTAAACGGTCTACCTCCCATGCAGTTGGACTGTACTCATAAACAACACTTGGCAAACAGCAATCCAGAAGCTTGCCAAGTGGATGCGTATCTTCAAGGAAATGGTGCTTCATCTGCAACATTCTGCAACGAATGGATGTGTTCGCCTCAACTAGGGTGCAAAAGGAGAATCCAAATGAAGCCTAAATGGTTCCTCCCATGTTGGTCCGCCCTCCCTCTACTTTCAGAGCCTCCAACAAAAACATCAACTGAACAAACCTGGGTCATCCTGTCTGTCCTGGCGTTCGACTACCCCACTAGACAGAACCTCCATCCACACCGAATCCGATCCTGAGAGCCTGATCCGAAGAATCCGAAGAATCTAACTGGATCGATGATCGATCTCTTGACTCCAACGCTCAAGCTTCCGCGGCTCCGTCGCGGCCCCCGCGGCTCCCGAGGAGTTCTCTCCTCGGAGTAGCTGGGTCCCATGAAGCCCCCGTCGTCGATGGCAATCGACCCCACCTGCGCGTGACTCAAGTGACTCGTCTTTGGAGTTTGGATTTCCGAGTCCGCCCGTGTCGAAATGAGTTTTCGAAAAACTGAGCCACTCTCAGAAGAAAAGATGGGTACTATTCTTTACATGAGACAAAACAACACCTAAACAGCGGAAAAAAAGGGAGCGTTCCAACCAAAAACATTCCAAAGATCCGGTTCTGTACCATGCAAAGCAAGGTGCTCCCCCCCTGACTCGACTCGAAAAGCTCCGTGCCTCCGACATTCCGAACTGAGTCACCATGGAGCGCGCCATGCGTTCCACCTGGCCGCAGTGGTGAGAGGCACAGCCAAAAGGATGAGAAAGAAGGGGAAACGAATTCTAGTCTGTAGATGTCTATAGCATCTATAGCATGAACTAATTGTCACCTACTTTGGTGGCTATTCTGGTGGGAATGGTGGAACCTAGGCATCTAGCAAAGTGACTCCGATCGAGAAAGGTCAGGTGGAGCAGCCGAGTTCGGAGACATAGGTAATTAATATCAATATCTTAACTGGCACAAGTACTGGATAGGAGAAGCAGCAATAGGCATTGGTGGAACATGGTGGAACACTGTATTTTGGACAATCTGAAAGCATCATTCGCACCAGCTGCGGCTGCAGGAGCAGCAACAAACAGTAGCTCGGTGCTATAGCAACCATTTCTTTTCGAACTTCGCATACCCCGTGAGCCCAGCTCCCCTGGTGCTTGCGCACCAAAGACCATGAGTCAGCGAGGGTGTTGGTGTAGTGATTCAAACGTCGATTGCCGACCTCGCCCCCCTGGCACAGCGATGCCCATGCCTTGCTGCGATCGATTGCTGGATGCCTTCGACTCCACACAAGACCGGCTTTGACAGGATAATAATACCTATACGCTCCGGACTGCCATATATGCCTGCATTGACCCCCAGTCAACCACCCCAACTGATCGGCATATATGGCAGTCCCATGGAGTGTCTGGGATAGATATATACACATGTAAACTCAGTCAAGTGAATCGATTCAAAACAAAACCAGCACACCGAAATTGATGGGACAAAGGACAACAAGCTCTGACCGATCCCATCGGCGTGTACCCAATGGGAAGCTCGCCAGTGACGCGGCAATCCGACCAATGAATCACTGCTGCACCGACCCGCACCCAGTCCTGTGCCTCGCCTTTGCGTACACCCAGACCTGCACCCCACCTGCCACCAGGAGAAAGTGCCCCGCCTGTTGCAGGTCCCCGCCAGCGCCGGTGGTCACCTGTCCTGAACCGAAGACCAACTGCTCTGCCGCACGGCCACCCAAGGCGCCGGCGATGCGCGCCTGTGGAGTGGGCGGAGAAGGCAACCGGGGGTGAGGTGTTTGAGAGAAGGCAAGGTGTTTGAGAGGTGGCTAATTGGAACTTAGAACTATCAAATGTAATCAAGTGTCAAAGACGTGTCAAAATCAGCTACAGTACAATAGGATAAAATAGGCTCGTACGTGCTGGAACCGGTGTGTCGGCATCTTTGCAGCTTGCATATGCTTGCATTCTACATGCCACAAATTCTTCAAGCCCTCACCTTCCGTTCCTTTCCCGCTAAAACCATCACAGCTTCGGATGCTCAGAATTGACGGCCTTGAGCATGGCGGCGGAGATCAAGCTTTGATCCTCTCCCGGGGTGAACCAGGTGAGGCCCTTTGCTTGGCCACGAGGGATCAACGTCACCTTGTTCACCTAAGCTCGGCAGCGTCGGCTTGCGCAAGCGCAGCTTGAAACATGCGGAAAACATGGTCAAAACGGGTGGTTTTGGTCGGAACGTCACAGCGTGAGTTGACCGAATATAAGTAGGGTCCACTCTTTCCATCATGCCTACGGCAGTTTTTTTTCCAAAGATCGTCATATGCTTTGTCTTGGATACATGCTTGACGACGCAAGCAGCAACAACAACAACAACAACAACATAGACTTAGACTTAGACTTAGACTTAGACCAACAAACTTTCCCCGTTTTTGGGGAGCAGCATGCTCATTGAAATCTCGTTGATCCCCCCAAAAAATAATTGCCAATTCACCTGCCACCAGTCTGAGACGTGGACTTACGTCGACTTCAGCCGACGAAGTCCAATTCTCCAAGAGGCTGGGTCGTGGTATGGGAGCAAAGTCCCCACGATCGCATGGCCAGCCTAGCGTCTCCAGTAGCATGGAGTTTCTGAAAAACAAAAATAAAGGTGCCGTGCACGACATGCAGAGTAAACGGCAAAATTAACCAAATGTGAAGCCACTGAAACCAAACTCTTTGGGGCTCTGTCCGATACTGGAAAAGCTGCAGATCCTGCGGATCCTTGATTCACACTCCCCTATGCGGTTGGCGAAAACATGCGAAAACCCTACCACGTTAACCCACCACTTCCCCTACCGAACCATCCGCTTCACCGGGGCCCCGGGGTGGCATTTTGGATGTATGTCGTCCTCATGGTAAGCGATGAGCTTCTTGCTGGCATTGTCGGTCAGGCTGCGCCCCTCCAAGCCCGCAATCACGCGATCTGTGGCCTCGCTTGGACAAACGGAGCGCGCAAGACGCGTGCAGGAAGTGCCTGCGGAGACGGAGGGGAGAGCGTTTTCCACCGGCCGGCGGAGCCAGCGTTGTAAGGTCAGGTGCTATATATGTATGCTCAACACTCTGTCTGCACTGGGTGCTTGTAGAGGTCGGGGTCTTAAATGCTTAGTGCCAGTGGTTTGTGTATCGCGCGTCTGTTTTGTGGGGCCTTTGTATCACTTAGATTCAGAAGGGGTGGATGGGGTGCGGTGGGGGAAGGCCAGGCTGATGATGCGGATGAGGAGGGCGATCACTATCATGCCTTCTTTGTACACTTCATTCCAAAAAGTATGATACACTCAGACTTGGCTCAAATGAAACATTGTCAAACCCTCTTTGTAGAGGCAAAAAGACAAAACTTTCAACAAAGCAAACGCATACCATATCATACCATGTGTTGAAAAGACCATTCTGGATTGGAACCTCAGTGGATTGGGAGAGCCATTCTGAGGGAAGTTCCTTCTTCGAAGTGAGAGCCCAGCTACCGCCGTGCCCTTCCTACCGGGCACTGGTGTTCTGACGAGAAACATCGTTGATCTCATCCATGGTAATGGCCTGGCGATCTCTTCGGGACGACACGTTTCGACTGACTGGGGCTGTTCATAAGCGGAGTGGTGGAAGGAAACATGGCCAGCTGTTCAAGTCCGGGAGTGCACACGGATTAGAGGTGCAGAGGATACAAGTGGTGATATCGAAGGTCTAAGACCAAGATACGACATGGATACAAGTCCCAAAACACGCCATGCATGGAATAATATATGAATGCTATGCCCACATTGACCCTGAAACCACCCCAAGGTAACGTAACGTACGATATGGCATACAAGGAGTGAGTCGGAGTGAGTCACGTTCATCTGACTGATCAGGTCAAAGGTTGAAAGGTGAAGGTAAGTCTCGCCATACAAGAGATTTGGGGCTCCATAGAGGTCTGTCATCAAGTGTCAAGTTGGCATGTCTACCAAATCAATTTCCACCAAATACATATCACATCACACGACCCCAGGGAGAACCAGGACACACAAGGAGATCCTTCTCAGTAGCTGGGTTGGATGACACCATATGACACCCAAAATGCTCACTCCAGCATTTTCCAGCTATCCTCCTATAAAACATGGACCAAGCATCTCGGGATCACCTCTTGAAGGAGTGCACATCTGATGACCCGCTTTGTGCTTGATTGGAAGACAAGCAACAGAACCAAAGAAGGGGCGCGCCTTCTTATTCCGCCGCGCTGTCAAGATGGCAGACCTCTCCCAAGGGGACTAGGAGATGAACGGAAGAGACCGAAAAACCCAAGGAGGACTCCTCTACATTCTGGAAGAGTACTTGCCCTTCAGTTTCAGTGTGTGTCAGAGGTTTCTGGCTGAGACGTGGGAAAGAGTATGTGACCGCCAAACGTCAACCCACAGGAGAGGTGGTTGACAGAAAGTCTTGAACATCCTTCAGAAAAGCACCAAGCCCTACTCATGTGAATTGACTGGCTCAAGGCTCAGTCAATCATGTCTGTACTTATGCAAGCAACAGGGATTGATGATGGTTCATGGCAGAATTTGCCAGAAATCTGCGAAGAAGTCGCACCAACTATACTACAGGGAAATCTGGAGCAAGGGCCATGTAGACGCCAAGTACGAGTAGTCATGACCTTTGACATCAACCAATTTTCTTCGGGCTGGTTGACAAGAAACAGGCGATCATCTACTTGGAATGTCTGCTGTTCGTGTCTCCTATGCCACTTGCATCCACTCACAGATGGAATCGCACAAAACAACAGGCTCTGTTTCCACAGCCATGTGGTGCATTTGGCGGTATAGTATGAACTTGAACTATGCCGACTACAAAAGAAACAAACACATTAGATGCATGGATGCAAGACCCCGGATGCATGGATGCAAGACCCCGGCTACATTGGATGTAAGGCGCCCGGGTGCGGTGGGAAGTGGTCTGATCAGGCAGAAGCACGTCCCAAATGGGCGCTCGCTCTCTTGGTCCAGGCGGAAAACGAAGTTCCGATGTATTCAACTCACTCCGGAACCAACCTCAACATAATAGACACGATATTTATTGATAGTCAGATTTGTTTAAACTCACCCAACATAATCGCAGTCTTTCGCTCCTCCGCCGTTGTTAGACTTGTGGCTCATTCATGAGGTTCTCGAGATCTGCCCCGCTGAAGCCGGCGGTGCGCTTGGCGATATCGGTCAAGGTGATGTTCTCCGCCAGCTTCTTGTTCCTTTGGCACATCAAATCTGGTGGGTGGGTGGGCTGGTTCAGGATGTTGTTGAGAGTGAGTTGTGCAAAAGAATGGCCAAGAAAGGTTGAGCAGCCCGTCTTGTGGCCCATACCACAGTTCCTAGATCCGGTCTGTCAACCTCATGCAATTGGGGGAAAAAAGCAAAAAGTGGCACAGATTGTGAGGTCAAACCCCAAAAAGTGCCACAAAAGGTGGCTCCTCACGCAAACCTCACATGATGTGCACATCATGTGCATCCTCCTCCAGTCTGGGCCCAAGGGGCAAACAACCGGCAAACCAGAAAATACGTCCATCATGGGGAACACTCAGAGTGAGATGTTCATGGCTTTACTCTGCGGTCGAAGGCACGGTTTCATCCATCAACTTGCTGGTGCTGAATGTCTGCTCATGCGGTTGCGGTGCTCAGTGGGATGATTCTAGGAGTTGTCAGTGCTACTGTACCCCGTTTCGAAACGCAGCCAAGTGAATGAAAGAAGTAGAAGAACTACTTTCCAAGTGATTCTGGACATAAATAGATGATAAAGAACTGCAGTCATGCTGTTTCACACTCTTAAGACTCTTAAGAGGACCTTCCACTTCTGACAACGTTGAATGGTTCCCCAAATATCGGATCAGTGGTTCTTCTTCTTCTCCCAAAACAGGAATCCCTCCAGCTCCACATCTTCGCTATGTCCAAAAACCATCATTTTCAGGTCTGTCCCCAGCCCACTCATGCCCACTCACGAGGCCCGTCACGTGCACTTCTGCAGGTCCCAGGCACTTCACGTGAACCTTGAGAATCTCTTCTCGCCCCTGAACGTCGGGCAACGCCACCTGAGCTGTGTCGAAAACCTATTGGAAATGGCTTTGTAATCCTAGCATCCTTTCGCGACAGGCTATCGCGGTCCTTTCGCGACCACAGTCTTACCTTTCGCGGGCATACACTATTTGATACTGTTTGCTCAGTCCTTTCGCAGGACCTTTCGCGAGAGAAGTTGGGAACCACACATATAACTCTACTTCGAATGATCCCCACCATGACATTTCAATGTTGTGTGATTGTGTGTTTTGCGTTGAGCTCCGGTAGTGCCCACTGCGATCTGGCACTTGCGGCTGAGGTCCGGTAGCGCCCACTGCGATCAGGCACTTGCAGGAGGGGAAGGAGGAGGAAGAGGAGGAGAAGAACCTCCTTCTGAGAAGAGCTCTGATATAAATCCAACAACCCTCACCTCGCAGGTGGGGAACAACATGCGTATACCTCTACATATGCATAATAATAAATCTGTATTGCCTCCTTCTAGCAAATGTTCATTTTCACGTGGCAAGTAGAAAATACAAATCGATGGGCTACATCCTGAACATGGAACCGTCACCTTTCTCAAGCCTTTCGCGAACCTTTCGCACGCCTTTCGCGGATTTTCGACCTTCGACTTCGAGAAACCCGTGGTCAAAACACGGTTTCTAGGTCCTAGGTTTCTGTTTATGGTATTTTTTTTGTGAGAATTCCTTGCTTGCTATCTGACTCGCCCACCATGGGCACTGGTGCAATACAGAAAAAAACCGTTCAGTTTGGGGCTAGAAACGTCCTTGTATATATATCTACGCAAAGCTCTCATGGTGACAATGGCGAAGTTGCATCAAAGCAGCGTAAAGAAAAACAGCTAGCACTGGAAACAAATCCTACATATCATCCAAACCGTCCTTTCGCATACTCCTTTCGCAACCATTTTGTCATGGTGTCTTTCGCAACAGCTTTCTCGAAGCTTTCGCGACTTAGGTTTTGCCTTTCGCGGGGGTTATGTCAGGACAACTGCATTACAAAAACTCTTCATGGAGGTTTTTGACGTGGCTCACCTGCACTCGCCGGTCGAAGCGCCCCGGACGCAGCAGGGCGCTGTCCAGGATGTCCTGAGAGCCGGTGCAGGGAGCGAATGGAGCGAAGGAGGACGTGTGGGAGGGATTTGCGTGTCAAAGGTTTGAGGAAGAGACCAGATCCTGACTGAAAGTATCCTGTGGCTGTGGATACCCTAAGATCTATCTATAGCTAGTCACTGGTCCTAGACTATTGTACATTAATTAGCTGCAAGATCCATCGATGCATTGTGAGATCCACTTTATTTACATGAGATAACAAAAGGATGCATAGTCTGATGGCAGGCAAATGGCCCACGTGGTGTTCACATGCCTGCAACCAGCAGGGCCGCAGGGCCTTCTTTATCCTCCACCAAAGCAGCCACCATCACGAGCAACATCGAGCAACGTACTCACATCTGAGTCTGATTCTTCTCCACCAGCCCACAAGATCTCGATCATTGGGTCGCAAGGAACTTGGTCCTCAGTCCCTCCTCACACTAGAAACCATGGGTGAACGGACACAGCTGGGTGAACTGACACGATGACCGAAACGTCCAAGGCCAACCAGCGGCGACCTACGAAGCGTCCAACCAGCGGCACCGATCCGGTCCGAAGGTCCGAGCGATTGGTGGCGGCGACCACGATGACCCCAGAGTTCCCCTCAAAGCCATCCATCTCGGTGAGGATCCTTGTGGCACGAAGACCCCGACAGGATGAGGAAAACCATGGAAAACCGTCGTCTGGATGGGTCACCAGCGCTGTTTCGGCTTCGGTTTCGAAGAAAAAGGGAATAGAGAGGGTCTGCAGGGGTTTAAGGCGCAGACCATCATGCCCAGGGTTTCACTAAAAGCAACCATCAAATGGTCAAGTTTTTGAAGAATCGTGAACTCAGCAGTGTTCGAGAGAGTTGTTCTTCGTGTGAATTACTGCAAAGTTGTTGGGTCCTTCGTTGTTCAGGGAAAAAGCAACGCATAAAATAGTGTGAGGAACCATCAATGCAAGCTCCAGCTACATGCTACAAACGTACGATATTTCCACGCGTTCACCTGTTGCACTAGCAGTTCTCCCTTAGCTCAAGCTAAAGCCTCTCTTAGGTGAAAGGCTCAAGAAAATGGACATCTTTTCTACCTCTTCAATGGTGATCTCCTAAGCCACCCCAAAAAACATTCCTCGCCTCGCAGATGACCCGCATTCGTACCCGCGCGCATGACGTGGCTGAACGGTCCCAGTGACTGATTCAAGGTCTGCTCACGCTCGTCGTTGCCACCGCCCATGCCAGCTCCTCGCTGCCGACCAATTGCATCGATCTCATCGATGAAAACGATGCAGGGCGCCTTCTCCTGGCCCGGTGGCGGCTGACGGTGGGGAGGCCCAGCGGATGCGTGGTGGAGACATCCACTTCAAGGGTACTTTGGGTTCGAAGACAGAAAAAAAACAGTTCAATTCCAAAGCTTTTTTGTACTTGCAACAATTCAAAAGATATCTTCTCCCAAACTTGCCTTGAACTCTTCCTGAAATGGTGCTCCCCTCGGAAACTGTCACGTTCAATCTCGTTCAATCTCGATCTCACCGGCTTAAACTGTCGCGTCCCCGTCCTTCGCCGCGTGTGCCGCGTGTCTCCCAGTCCTTGGCCTGTTTGAAGATGTCCCGCACGCGTGAGGCCCCGACGCCCACGAAGAGCTCGATGTATTCCGAGGCCGAGGACTGGATGAACCTCGGTGCGAGGTCGGGTGTGCGAGGTCGGTGCGAGGTCGGGTGCATATCGGGTCTCGAGGTCTGAGGTCGGAAGGAGGTCGGTGTTGGTTTCTTGGATTTTTTCCCTATGGCCCTAGATGTTTTGGACCGGAAGGGGGTCTCATGGGGTCTGGGATGAAGTGGGGAACCACCAGAATCGACTGTATCCCTTATAGTTTCCGTTGACTTTTGGCCACCCTGTTCGTCCGCTTGGAGTGGGGAGACCAATCCCACCAAAAAAAATAGATGGTTTTGTTTAAGGTTGTAATTTGGAGCCGTCTGACGAATCCACTCATAAACTCACTCGATCCCTCTACCAGCACCACCCAAAGGATTGTTATTGCATGGACGGAAAATACAATCAGGGGGTCTATGAAGTGGTGCTGGTAGGGAATGTCGAAATCTTCTCGTTGTTTGTTCAATGGCTGGCCAGGTTTGTTTTTGATACCAACGTTCTTGCTCATTGTGCTACTGTGATTGCTGCTGCTGTTGCTGTTGCTGTTGCTGCGTGGTGTTTGCTTATGTTGTCTGTTTTTTTTTTGTGTGTGTGTGTCAGGATGCTTTGACGCTCCATCGGATGGAATCTCTTACTAAACACTTTAGACAAAACCACTGGGAGCTTCACAAGAATGTGGGTTGGGTCAAGATTCACAGTTGCAAAACAAGTAATTGCTGTATCGCTTGGTGACTTCCATCATGGTCCAACAACTACGAACCAGCCAGAATTCTGGTGCTCAAAATCATATGACACTTCAGGGAGTTCTTTATTATATACTGGTGTAGTCAGAGTCATGTGTAATCATCCCCTTACTCAAGCAATTGGCCTGTAGTTTACAGGCAGTCTCTCATCTCATTTCAAGGCACCCTGGGGAGACTCGCACCTGCCGCACCTGCCGTGTCTCAGCCGCCTCCCCCCTTTGCGGCGAGGCACGGTACACCGGACTCTCCAGCCAAGGCCTTGGCCATCAAGGTCTTTCCAGTGCCCGGAGGCCCGGTCAACAGGACGCCCCGAGGGATCTTCGCCCCCACCTTCACGAAGCGTTCGGGGGCCTGGCCGGTTCGATGGTTCGATGCGGTGGATGGAGCGGATGGTTGGTCAGGTGGGTGGATGGAGCTGGAGCTGGAGGGTGGAGTGTGGTTGGAAAAGTGATGAAAAGCACCGAGGTGAGTGGCACGGTATCCCCAAGCTGAAATGGTGAGATGGCAACTTGGACGATATAGAGCAATGAATCATCTGCAGTGGGACCAAAACCCGTGCGCCAGCCACTTGGCTGTTGCTGAAACCTGCATTCTCGAGGAACGATCGCATCACGTGGCGGCGATCCTTTTACTGATTCGATCGACATCGGCAGCGCCGATGTCAAGGCTCTTCCGCCCGGTCGTGTGGGAGTGCTCCTCTCGAATGACCATCCGTAACACGGGACTAATCACCCAACACGGGTAGATGCTCTTATTAATGTTACAGTATTAAAACACGCACACAACTAAAACTTAGTTGCCGGGCTGGTGTTCAGTTGGAAAAAGGCTGAATCAGTCTAAATACTATTGAATCCGCTAATTCTTCAGCAGAACAAACCAGGTCGAGCACGCTCCAAAGGCCAGGAAAAGCATGCCTTGAGGAAGTCGACAATCTCCATGAGCTCTTCTTTGGCTTCATCGATGCCCGCAACATTCTCAAACTTGACTCCTCAAAGTGAATGGCTTTCACGATGGTTTGAAGAGGATACAACACCTGAAGAGCATCCATGATCACCATGGATCCAGTCCCCGTGGGGGAACCCGTGGTTGCTATTTTGAGTCCAGGGCCGACCAACAAGAAGATTCTGCAGACATACCGTGCCTTCTAAGCATCCAAGACCATTGCTTGTGCCGGGGGCAGGTATTTATGGTGAGGTTTGCCTGCACTCTGGGTCTGTCATGATCCCCACCATCTCATGCACAGCATAGCACCCTAGATGGAGCCTGACCAAGTCTTGATCCTTTCAGTCGCTTCCAGTTGACCAAAAGAGAAAGGACACCAACTTCCCGTCTTTTTGTCTGGTCAAAACTCCTGTGGAGGACAGTCATCCTACCCCTTGCCAAGGTTTGACGTCTGCTCAATGTGCGAACTGTTCGAGCCAAGTGCTTAGCAACCACTTCGAGAAGTATCGCTTAGCGACACCACCACCCGACACCAGAACGCCACACCGGCACCCACCAGCCTGTCTCAGGTGTGATCATGATCCTTGGCAGGTTTGCGCACTGGGTCTCCGGTTGATTCATGACACACAAGCCCTCGGCAAATACACATGGGATAGAACCAAAAGACACTGGTTTTGGAGACCAGGTTGGTCTTTTGTATATATATATATATCAAAGGAAAACATCCACAACTTGAAGGTGACTAAACTAAACATAAGTCTTTGGTTCACACTTCCATAAATTCAATAATAGCTAATAACAATATCTATAATATTACAATATATAATTATGTACTAATATAATATATATATATATATTTAATATATAATAATCATATATAATAATACAGTATGTCTTACCTACTGTCTTACCGATTTCACCATGCAAAACACAACCCTGGTGCCTGGTGCTGATGGACCAGGGTACCCTGATGAACCAATGTCTTCTTGCCTGAAAGACATCATGCATCCCACCCCGCCCTTACTACTCCAGCCCGAAAATGCAGAGACTGCAGGGGAGACACGGGAAAAAGCACCATGAATCCCATCAGGTGAGAGAGACCCGTAGCCTGTAGGTAGCTTGGACCCCCACTTCTACCCCAATGCCTGTGCACGGACCGCCTGCCGCCCAAGGCGCTTGGCTTTACCCTGGTTGCCGAAGCCCGGAATGCCGCCACCAGCCGGACCGCGCGAGCGGAGGAAGAGCAAGCCGCCGATGACGAGGAGAGGGAAGGCGATGTCGCCCAAGACACCGAAGAGGGGATTCCTGGAAACGAAACGTGGGTTGGGTTCAGGGTTGGGTTGAGGCACAGGGAGGTGGACAGATTGGTCGGGCCCTGGCTGATGCTGGTAATTGAAGATTTCTGCTGCTGCTTTGAGTTCTGCATGATCTCAACACTTGTTGAGAATGCGCATAAATCCTCTGGGGAATCCATAAAAAGAGCGTTCGCGAACGGAACAAAAGTGCACCCTTTCGATAATTGCCACCAGTTCTGCCTCGAAAACGGAAGTGGACCAGCGCCCCAGTTTGTAGAGAGGAAAGCCGTCTTCCTTTGGGGCCCAGGTCAACGTCACCCTGAGGACGGTTGGAGGGATATGAGTAGATCTCACGTTGGAAGATGGATTCAGTACGCAGCATCGCATCCAAGGACATAGCTACTTGGGATGTCCAAACCAATGAGTGGTGCAAAGAGGAAGGTCGACCTTTACCATTACACACCACCTTAACCATCCATCTTCACTCGAAGGAACACATGTAAAAGCTGTAAAATCTGTATAAAAACACATCATCATCCATCATCACCCAAACTGCAGGTTGCACAGAAAAGGGTTCGTTACGTCGTTTCTACGTCGAGCGGCGGCTTCTCCGGCTGGTGAACCTCAATTTGGACCTTCTTCGCCGTGAGCTTTTCAATCAGCCCAGTCGTGGCGCCTGGATGCCACGGGAGACCGGGGGTGCGAGCCACGGGGGGCCTGCATGGTTCAGAAGGAAGTGTCATAAAGGAAACGCCATGAAGTCATGTCTGACGAATTCCAGACAAAGAATGAGTCCATCATGAGTCGGATGGGCGACAAAACGCCACTAAAGCATCCATTTGGCGCTTTTGGTCATTTAGGTCATTTGGCAGTGGCTCAAAGCAGGGGTTCATTGGGTTTTTCCCACCCCAAAATGAACAGACTACAGATTCCGGAGGTTGATCGATCGACGGTCGAGACGACACGGAGCTCCTGTTGGACGAATTCGGTGCCATGTCGGGTCAAGCAGCGGATTTGATTCACCAGTCACAAAGGGGCGCCGAACATGTACCATTGTCATCCCTTGTCACAGCCACTGGATGGGACAAGCCAAACCACCCAACTCCGTGTGACTCCTGGCACTGCCAACGGCCTGGCAAATCGCACACCAGCTGCTGTTCTCGGCCGGCCACATTGACCAGCGCCACGGCAGTGCGGCCCAGGTCGTAGAAGTCGACACGACGCCTGGGAGGAACGTCGTCTTTGGGACTGCCGTCGGTTGGAGCAGGACCGAGCCGAACAGTCAGGAACCAGGGTTTGGAGCACAGCTGGGGATTTGATGTGGTATATAGATTTGGATTGTGGGGGTCATGAATATCCCACCGTGATTTCACAGATTGGGGCAAAGGTCGGGTATATAACCATGTTTAATGGACTTTGAAGCTTTGGTAGCAGGGCAGGGACGCTAGTAGTAATTACTAATTACAGCATCCAAACTTTATCTTATGTTTTATAGTATTTATTCTGATTTATTCTTGTTGTTCTTCTTCTTCTTCTCCTTCTTCTTCTTCTTGCGTAATTACATTGAAGCTAATCTGCCAGTGACTACAGCGGCATGCAATTACAGCACTGCAATGACGAATTGTCTGGCATGTCATAGTGTGGTGACCAGGCCGTTTGATTGCTTGCTCATGGCCACGAAGAGATTGAGGAACCAGATGGAACCAGGGAGCTGACACCAATTCAGAAGACGGGAGAACAACAATGTCAATCCCAAACACTCCATGGGACTGCCCTATATGCCTACATTGACCTGTCCAATGGAGTGTCTGGGATATGGGCCGTCACTGCTGGTGGCTATGTCTATGTGTCTAAGAAGAGTGCCAAAAATAGGGCTGGAGATGGCCTGCAGGAGTCCGCTTTGCGCAAAGTCCGCGCGCTTCACTCAAGTCACCGTTGTGGCTAGTTACTACAGTGGTTTCAGAGGTTGGATGGCACCGGCACCCCTACATGTTTTAGACGGATGGGGGTCCATATAAACCACCAAACTTGGGGATTCGGATTATGTCATCTACTCTGAACCCACTGTATATACGGGTTTCACAAGTTGGCGCCACTGATCATCATGATCATTGCAATTTGCTCAACAAGAAAGACCTCGCATGTCTGCTTAACAGCCGGGGTGTGGTCTTTGTCGCAAGGATAGCCTCTACCAGACTGAGGAAGATCTCGCGGTATGTTGACGAACCTTCAGATCCTTTGCGGTTGCCGGCTCTTGTGCGAATCAGGGCTTTGCTTGAGCAATCCCCAACAATAGTGACGATGTTAATGTTGATGCTGCACAGTGTGGCATTGCGACAGAAACACGCTGGAAACTGATGGAAACTCAAATCTTGTCAGTGCCTTGTAGCAGTGCGACAGAACTCGATCTTTGCGTTGGGTGTCTACCTATGTCCTGCCTGTGTTGCTTTTAGAATACTGCCGTGAACACAAACCTGCAAAGGGTACAGTCACCGTCTCTGTAGAGTGGAAGGGAAGAGTCCCCATGACTCTCTGCTTTCTCAAGAGGCCACAATGTAGAAGTATCAGGTCTCCCTGGTCCCTGAGCAAGTGTTCCTGTATTACAGTGATAGCGAAGGATCATTTGGCGCGATGCCATCGGCTTCCTACTTTCGCAGTTGTGTTTTGCGGGGCCAAGTCGCAGGTCAGGAACCTCGACACGTGACAGGGGCTCCGAGGGTGTCTGACGTGCCGCACGCGTTTGCCGCGTGCGCTTTTACCGCAAGCCAGCGTAGCGACCAGGGCGGGTGAACTGGTCCCATTGCTGGGTTGTTTTCTCCCAGCACACTGGCATAGGAGAACTGCGTGTGTGTGAAGTGGGAAGGGACATGGTTTTGATGCAAGACCACCACGATTTAACTTTTCATGGAGAGCCGCTGTTTTGTCAGTTGCAGTAAGAAGCAGAGCCCCAACTGCCCCCCCAGTTTGGCCGTTGTCTGTTGGGGGAAGTGGCATTGTGGATTGGTTTTCCACGGATCAAGGCACAAGACTTGCGGAGCAAGGCCCGGCGTCGTTTTTGCCTTCGCTCCTTCCAACTCTGGGGGCCGCATGAGGACGTCCTCTTGCGTCTGATGGTCCAACCTCACATCTGGTGAAACAGTGAATCCTCAGGCAAATCACGCACAGCTAATAGCAGGAGTAACAGTAGGTGGCGCCAGTTCATCGTTATCATCGAGCTGAGTTGACGGTCCTTCACCATCCTGCAAGGTGCAGAAGGTTGCCTCAAACCCCTTAGGGTAGCTCGCCTGTACTCCTCTTTCTGCTCTTGCTTTGCTTTCTGCACCCACTGTTCAATCTCGATCTTCTCCATCGCAATGGGCAATGGAAGTTATAAGCGGTCAAAGGCAGTCCATCCTGTGATAAAAACTGGTGGAAGCTGTTCAACCCGTGCTGAGTCCAGGCTCTCCTTGGTGAATAGGTTTCCCCAAAGCCAGGTGCAAGCCGGATAGACTACAACTATCCAAGAGAATGGCACGTGCAATGGCAATCGGCCATGGTCCCGATTCGCAAAGTGGGAGAATTGCAGAATCGGGAATCTGGTCTACCGGTGGCAAAGGAACGTGAATGCATGCTAGAGATTCATCTCCGACACTGGAAGAAGGCCACCAAAAACCATTTGCTAACCTGCTAACCTGATCAAATTCATCTACAAGATGGGTGCTGAAAGCGCCGGGTTGAAGGTCTGTCCATCCCGGGCTCCTCTGGCCCTCTAACCGCTTTGTATGGCATTGTTCCTGTGTCTTCTCGTCCAAACTTCTGTTGGTGTCCGTTGATCCCAACTCCCAAAAAGAAACACCTGCCAAAGGCATCTTCCCGTCCCCCCACGTCTTTGGTCACACACACCCAAACACCACCTTCACGTGCGAGTTCGCATTGAACCCGTTGCTTTGACCGGTCCCAAAACGGTCCCCACCGGTCGTCCGTCCGGTCGCCAAGAGGCACGGAACCTTCGTCCACGAACTCCAGAAGTCGAGAATAGGTCACCCGTCCACTGACGCGAGCCTGGGCCCAAGCGGGCGCGCTGGAGGGGCGCCATTCGGCTTGATGGGGTGCGCCATTCCATTCATGGGGCGCTGGAGGGGCGCGGTTCTTTTTGTTGGTACCTTATATAGAAGCTGAGGTCAAGCTCGATAGTTAGACCATCAATGCAAATCAAACAGGGTCTTTTCCTGTATCGAACCAGAGGTCAAATGAGGTTCTGCATGGATTCTGGGTTACTGTATATTTAGCTATATAGAAGTGCAGTTCGACGATGTTTGGCGCAGAAGTAAAGACTCCTTTGAACGGGTCACCGTGCATAAAGACCATGTTTCAGTTAGAGTCGAAAAGGACTTCGATGCCACAAAAGCGCTTCGTTTACACTGCGATAGCATTCGCATTGTTCTTATTCTGACCTCCCCCAAAGATCCAGCAGCGTCCTTCATGGGTTGACAAAAGATTGACCACCAAGAGCCAGGTGTCCTTCCACCTGGAAAATCTGGGTCAAAGAGATTTGTCCAAAAAGAGAGCGCCAGGTGTCCTTAATGCCGGAGTGCCACCAAAGTTACTGGGTCATTAAACTCTTCCATTTCTTGATTATCAAGTTGATTCTTTAATGGCTTTGGCCATGTGTTGGCTATAGTTCTTTGGATGGTTTTGGGATGCCATCATGGCTTCCCAGCCGTTGGAGACGGTTCTTTGCTGGTTTGAGTGGTTAAATTATCAAATGCTGTTTTAATATGCTTAAGTGACGCAGGATGGTGTTGGCAAGTGTTCTCTATGATATGTTTAAGCATTGCTGTTGCTCCACCTTCTCCGATGCCAAGATGCTGGCGCCTGCTGCATCTGCGGAGCCCCGAAGGGCTGCATGGGCGGCACGGCATCGTCCGCGAGCGCAGGCAGCGGTGCAGCGGAGGCGCACAGGGCCACCATGGTGGACCTTAGGAGCTCTGGTAAATATGTTGGGCGGACATATCATACCCGATATGGGATCCGTTTTCGTACCGAACCTCAGTGATGTTGTGTAGGTGAAAGGGTCCGGTCCAGTCATACCGAACCGGGTCGAATGAACTCGGATCCCTAGGGATATGCCTTCAACATCTGGGATATAAAGAAGGGATCAACGGTCTGCCAATAGATTGAGAGGAGCATTGGCATCATTTGGCACTGCGAGAACACGAAAGCTTGAAGCGAACCACCAGTTGGTCTACACAAGGTCATTTCAGCCAAAAACACCTTGGAGAAAGCAGTGGATAGGTCCTTGCGTAGAGTTCTTCAAGACTTTATAGGAGGTTTAAAGATTCCCTCTATAAATCAAGGTGGCTCTCGGCAAAGACTTTGTAGATTCCGTGAAGCAGAGTAACCACCACAAGGTCCGCATCTCGACACCTTTAACTGAACATGTCCAGTCCCAGTCGGCTCCCACCCCATCCTGAGAAGCCAATTCTTGACCCTCGTTATACCACGCACCCAGCCCAACGACCTTCGACTTCGGACGTGGTTGGAGCCCATGCCCAGTGTATGGCAAACATCGAATGATGTATCCACAAGTGATGTTCACCTCCAAGGGTTACTAGCACCCAGAAGGCATGATCAAGAAAACCAAGCATGTGCTGCTGACCGGCTTTGTGCGACAACACGCAATTTAAGGGCAAATACTCGGTTTTGCTCAAGGGACCTAAGCATATGCGAACATCTATTGAGGAGCTTCATCAAATTGTGACCACAGAATAGGAAAGTCAAAGCAAACTCGCCAACATGCATTCCAAATCGGTTCTACATATCGTACAATATATAACATGAATATTGGAAATTGCAAAAACACTTCCACTATGAAATGTTGAACCGAAAAAACACATGGTTATCAAGAAAGCAACACATGAGAGAGTTCAAAAGAACTAGAGTTGGGGACCTCCAAGCAGAAAGGCTTGTTTCAGGAGGGACCCAGGTGATCAGATGACGGGCTTCAACAACAACAAACAGCCTCGCATATCTTCGCACTATCCTACCGTGACCCAATCTTCCAAGCTGCACTGCCACGGACTTCACCAGAGACTCTGGAAGAGCTTGGCCATTGGAGATGTCTGAAGCCATCTCCTAGATGGGATGGCAAGTTGTGTGGCCTGGAATGCTTGGACAACCTGGAAAGTTGATATCCAACAGCAAGAGTGCTTCCGTGTTGATATGTCTTGATGGTCTACTTACACGGTTTAAATGCGATTCATGCATGATGACCAGCAGCCCTCATCCCTCTCCTGCACCTTCTCCATCACAACATCACTAGTGCATGCCTCGGATACCAAGGAGACTTCGGCCGCCGGCCAACGCAGAAACAGCAAACTCCGGCCAAGGCAGAAATACCAATGCAACAATAGGTATCTGAGTTGGTTTCTTGGGAATCCAACCAGGCGTTTCTAGCAATACAAAACTGCCCTGCCCGTGGCTACAAAGCAAATAACTTGGTGGCAAACAAAACACATGCAGGTTGCTACAAACACAATCTCTGCTTGAACTAACCACCCGTCTGCCTGTGCCCCATCCACCCACTTCCAGAAATCATTTCCAGTGGACTCTTTCTGGTTCCGCAGCCAGCCCCAGGCGTGCAACTGCAGCACGCGCGCTCCGTCCACTCCGGGCAGAAGCGGCTTTTGGGACCGCGCTGGTGCCGCAGAACCCACGGCGCGGGCAGTCGGCGCAAGCGAACATCATGGGCTTATCCGGGTGGACACACCTGCAGAATCTCGCGGACACGACCAAAATCGGACCCTGAATCCAAGTCGAAAGTGTTTCACTGGGTCAGGAAAAAGGCTAGGGTCTTCACCATGGAGCTACCTTGGACACTTAAAGATTGAATATGGTATGACTCAAAGTGCCACACTTGGCAGGGTGGTGTGAAGGCGGGGCCGTGACCTACACCGGAATTGGCCGAAACGATCTTCTAGACGCACCCAGCACCACCCAGCTCGGATGCTTTATAGACGACCCCGTGAAGATGTGTTTTCCATTTAATAACCACCCGACCTGGGTGGTAAATATACTGTATGTCCATAATCCGCAAAATGACAGGAAGATCACACAAACCAGCACCGTCGTTTGTGTCAACTTCGTTGATTGAGGGTAACTTGCTGTCTTCAACGAAAACATATTTGCCGTTCAAGCCAACTCATCGCATTCAAATAAGCCGTCCAAATTTCCTTAAACTCAGTACGAGTATCCACTGAAAGACTCAAAGCACTGCTTATACTCCCCCCAGAACTCGTGGCGCAAATCCCGTTCTTGTCCAACCTCTTTTGAGAACTGAGCAAAGAGTTCTTTCAAGGGTATACTGTACAAATCAAGTGTAGAATGCCAACATAGGAACAAATAGTCAAGGCTCAAAAGATTCAAAGATTAAACGCTTATAATTGATCTAAAACAGCTTGTGAGGTGTTCATCTGACACACACTACTCACTACTCAGTCCTCAGATCCCTTGCGCCTTTTTCACCCCCCGGTCTCCACTAACAAGGGCTACGGCTACAGGATGCCGATCAGGTGCGCGCGTTCGTGGGGGCCTGCTCTTCTTCGCCACTGCGGTGACCTCCTCTCCAGCGTAAGCAGCGACCGCCATCTTGTTGCTCATCACCAACTTCCCTTCGGCTGCTGCCTGTGAGGACGGAGGGTGCCAAAACAGACTGAAGAACAGCAGGTGACTGACTGCCGGGTTTTCAGAGACTACAGGGACTGCAACCTGCAATGAGATGGTCGATGTACGCATCGACCTGGTATGTGGAGGGAGTGAAGTCATCACCTGTTTGGTCTCCGGATTTCTCATCCCAGGGTGCCATGCGCTTTCAGGGAGTGCGTATGCTGGACTGGATCGCACCTGGACTCGGGAGGATTACTATCCATCTCGGAACGTGCCTGGAACATGTCACTGGTCAAGGAAAGGTGCAAGCCTTGCAGGTGCTTACCATCAACAAATAAACCTGCCAGTGTCTTGCTCTTGCCCAATGACCTCTTTTTCCCCATTTTCCCTCTCATGGGTTGACTCCAACCAGCGATCCAGGGATCCATTATAGTCCGTTCCACTGGTGAATGCAGTCTTCTCCCAAACCCTCCGTTCACCTGACATCAAAGACTCAGGCATCACTTCACTGGCTTGCGGGTCTTCGTCCATTCCATCACATCTTCACATTAATGCTCCATTCCTCAAAAGCAAAGTCGTTGACTACTTGACCACGGCTCCCTTGCCTCTTCCCATCTTCATTAATCGTTCAAACATATTGGCCTTACGCGGCTGTGCGGCTCTTCGCTCGCTACCTGGCTGCCCTGGTTCCCTCCCCACAGCTTTCTTGGCATGTTCTCCCGACTCATCAGCAACCCATCGCACCTGGTTAATGAGCTTGAAAAGCTCCTCTCCACTCACTTTCTCCTCACAAAAGCGGAGGGCCGCGTGCATTTGCGCTTTGCTTGGCAATCTTTTCCAGCGCACAGACTGTGCACACCGAGCCATACCGAGCCCATTCATGAAACCGTCAAAATAAGGAATCGATGGGTGACTCTGAAGCGCCACTGGGAAAAGCACATGTGGCATTTGCTTGGAGGGCCAGGTGACCGAACGCCGCGGCATCGGATGGTGGAGGCATCGATGGGGTGTGCGGTGTGCGCACACCCCGGCTACGAACTCGCAGTGTGGATGAACGTCAGGGAAAACAACGTGAGTACCAGGAGTGCAAAATGGTGTAAACCGCGAATATATGTGATGATTTTGAACTTGTAAGGAGTACTGTAACCGGCTGTGGAGGTGCTCTAAGATGCTCCGTGCCTGAGCCAGACCTAGTTCCTCTCCAAGTCAAACAAAACGGAACATGCAATCCCTGAGCTGCGATGATGCTGCCACAACCCAACCAGTGTCATGTTTGTAGGGAGGTCACTTATACTAGTATATATCTACATACTCAGTTGTGGCTTCAGCTCAATGAATCACACATAATGCAGTATTGAATAGTATTTATTTATATGCAAGTAAATAATGGTCCCAATGTCCTGCCTTAAAGCACCAAAAGCCCTCGCGATGTGCAGATGTGTCTATCGCAAACGCTCCATGGGACTGCCCTATATGCCTACATTGACCCCCTGGCACCACCCCAACTGATCGGCATATATTCCATACATGGAGCTTCTGGGTATGACACCCAAACCACACTACCCGGGTGATCTAACGGACTGCCACCTGATCCAAGAGCATCTTCGCGAGCTCATCCAACAAGTACATGTTGTCTTGCAGCCTAGAGGTAGTCATTGCATGACCCCCCCCCGCGATGGACTTCAGCATTTCTGGCATTCTGACAAGCTGATGTTTCTTATCACCAAGTGATGATGATCACAACAGGTCTCAGGACGAAGCAACACCCGACTGTTGGGCCCATCACCAATCATCTGCATGTGAACATCGGATCATCTCCAGTGATGAAGAAAAGGCATGGTCAACTCATAACTCAAATTTAGGGATCCAACCACCTCAGAAGGCATGTTAGACCCCCAAACCCACCCCAACCACCTGAACCACCACAGTGCCCTAGGGCAAATGAAGAAAAGGCACTCTTTGCGGTCGTGCTTCCGAGTCACAGGTTCGGGCTGGCTTTATAACACATGAACATCTAGCTGCGGCTGTCAAAACTCCCTGTTCAATCTTATGCCATCACATATTACTTTTTGGGGGGAGGGGGGGCCATCGCTTCCCTCAGTTTCGACGGCTGCTCGTATGAACCAATCACTTCCGACAGAATGATCTGAGTCTTGCGGAATGGACGCGAAGAGTCTTGACGTCGTGTTCCGATGTGTTCCACCCCGATGTCACCCTGTCCGAGTGTGCGGTCGCACGCCGCAGCTCAGTCGATCCACACGAAACAGATTGGTTTCAGAGTAGCGATTTAGATGGCACAACCTGCGGCGTGCGACCGCACAACAATCAGTCCATTGGCTATACTCAAATGGACAAGTTTTATAGCTGGAACTAGAAACTGACCCCTGAACATCGTGATGCGGTGCAGATGATTCCCTCACACCAAGCAGTACCAAGGAACAGCTTCACACCACGTTGGTACTGCTCATCGACAATGCGCTTCACCTGCGTTGAAAAACCCAGCGAACCACTTGGACCGGCTCACTCGGGGCGAACCACGCGGTCCGCTCCGCTGCCTTGTCCTCCCGGTTTTGGACCGATCCAAACACATCCCGGGGCCGAAGGGGGAACCGATTTTGGACCAACATCCGAGCGATTTGGCTGATGAGGCTAGCGGGCCCGATGTTCACTGAAGTGGGAGACACACATGAAGCCTGACAAAAGAAGAAACATGTCTTCAAGGTGTCGACAGTCCTAATGCTATATATAATATAATTGTCGAACAATGTTCACCCTCTATGTCTTCAACCTGCTGCCTGCTTTAAAAAAGAGGTCACTATATATGTCACATTGTGCTGGTCCATGCAGCTTCAGAGCAAGCACCGACCGGGTACCGGCTCGTCAGTCAGTGTTGCGCCTCTCCGTCGACCTGCTGCTTGAGTTGCTGGGAGACAGGAGGAGCGCCTTGTCCCATGAAGTCACGACCTCTGAACGCAGCGCACGATTTGGTTGGTGGGAGTTATAACCGAGTTCCATCCACTGAAAAATTGAATGCACATAGGCTACAGGCGAGACCTTATTTATGGCTGCTTGCAGCTTTAAACAATAAAAGGTGGGAGTGTTGCTTGGTTGGTTGGCCGCCCACGGCCGCCCATGTCAAACATGCAGCTTGGTCAAAAGCATGACCTCAAGACCCAAAAGTAACGACCTACTATAGGAGCTCTTTAACAGCAAGTCCAAACCTGGAAAGGATCGCCATCTTTCAACCACTGTGAATTACCTCTCTAGGGCATTTGGGTGTCCCTTACGAGAAGATCAGGCACACCTTGACAGGACAGCTTTGTTTCATCGGATCCACAAACCATTCGGCGGATCCACTTCCCCTGGGCGCCGAACCCATGAAAGGCCCACCTTGCTGTTGTCCTGGAGGCGCGGATGGAGCAGGTGGTAGGACTGCGGCAAAGCCCACGGTGAAGGAGCCGACCAAATGGTAGTTGATTGGCTCCAACAGCTGGAGTGCTGGTTGATTGGCTTGGTGATTCTTTCTTCTCACCCATGTTGGGGTGCTCCGGTGCTCATGCCTGCCCAGCTACAAAATAATATAGGTATAAGGAGTGGGTCGAGAATAAGCGGTAAAACGACACTCATCTACCAGGAGTCACATGGAGTTGGAAGGTTTGCCTCGTCCCACGTGGTCGTGGATGTTCCATAAGCACCCCTATCCGTATCCAGTTCAGTTCGGCACCCCGTCTGGTGACTCCTGGTAGAGCATTCTAAGGCTAAACCATCCCGGTCACACAATGTGGCACGATGTGGCTGATGGCTGATATCTGCATCCGGCCAGGACATCGTGGGCCAGCTCCATGAGGTGTTTATCCCCCTGCAGCCGACCACATGGAACCCCAAAACCACTGGGTTGTAGAGCAAACATGGTCGAAGCCACAGGTCGGTGACGGTCAGTATGCGAAAAATACCCACCCGACCCAACCTGCTCTGGTTAGTGGTGAAGCTCTGCAAACATTCAGCTTTTGGGCCTCCGTCGACAGGTTTGTGATGAGTTCTCCCTGAAAAGCTCCTGGTGCAACTCCTTCTTAGACTTCTTAGCAGGAGCTATCAATCTAACGGCCGGTGAAGACAAGGAGTTTACTAGGACCTTGATCATTTTGGTACTGAAACCAAAGGAAAACCTCGAGCTATTCAGCGCTTCTTGTCTTGAGAAACTAGTGAACTAACTACAGGAACCATCAGGAACCCAACCTGCTCCGATCGTTGCCTTCGCCAATATTTCCGCTGCCCTCTCCTCCCAGCAGCCGTTGCCCCACTGCAGGCGACATGCCCAGCTGCATCACCATGGCCTGTGCCACCTGCGCCACGACAACTCGGCGACTCAACTCCCCATGCCCTGTGACCGCCGTGACTCTGGGGCTCCACCAACTCCACTCCACAAATGGAAGTATCACCGATCACCCCTCTTTCCTTATTATCTTTGGACATCTTCCTTGCATGTTCTATGTTCGATGCCTGCCTGAGTACACTGCTGGAAGTCATTTGAAGCCCCAGTTGTGACGTTGTCCTGGACATCACAGTGCCAAAGCGACTTCGCATTCTGTGTCCCTGCAAAGTGTTTTCTTCCAATCAATCCTTTGCCGCCCATGAATCATAAGTGAGTCAGTTGTCAGTGTGAGCAACTAAACCTGTGTGGGTGATTTCTGCAGCTGATGGACAATGTGTTGAAAGACGTTCAATCCCCTTCTGTCCGATACCCGAGCAGTATGCACACAATGGATTGATGAATTTCTATCAACATACGTACTTACCGGGTGCAGGATCGTTCAGCAACGACTCACGAAAAATGCTCCAATGCCGGCACCAACAACAAGCAGTGCCACTCTGCTTGCCGCCGGGCACAGGGTTGCAGGGCGCGTTGCGTTTGCTCCACGAGGCCGCCGACAATTCACTCATCATGAGGCCGAAGATGTGTTGGTCAGGAATCAGGAAGAATTTGATTCTACGTAAATATGTTCTTTTCTTCTGCTTGCAAGGAAGGAGGAGCAAACCTCAGGCCATGATGAAAGATCTTGTGTGCCCCGCGGTTCACAGGTCCTGGTACAGGCCCCCCTGGCACACGCCCCCTGGCACAGGCCCCCTGGCACAGGCTGTCATTCGTTGTGATGATCCTCAACCTCTTGGTGACCCAAGAAGTTGGGCACGTGGGATGCAGGGCACGTGGCCTGGTGGTTGAACAGATCTTCCAGTGTGAGAACTCCGCATGCTTTGATATGCTCCCGTTGGACCACCCCTTGGAAGCGACTCCGGACCGGGGGTCTCGCACGGTTCTTGAAAGGAATCAGGGACATAGCCAAGCAATCGTTCACCCGGGAAAGATCCCGCCACTTCGAGCAGACTCAGTTGAGATCAAGACTCAGTGCCTCACACCCTTAACAAAGACTCGCGTGCACTCCCCATCTGCTTGATCTCCAGTTGCGATCAAGAAGGGCAATTTTGCAGTCAAAGACCTCATTTTACTGGGGATGGTCATACAAAACCAATACTCAAGGATGTAAAAGACCAGGTTTTACTGGGTCTTTGGACTTGTAGGGGTAGCTTGAGATGTACCTGCTAGCTCCAAGAACTGCGAAGGTTGGAGTCTGGGCCACGGCGGACACAGCGGACTGCTGGACGTCAACTTGAAGCAAGGGCACAAGGTATACGTAGACTCGTGATATCTCTTGATGAATTAAAACATATTGAAACACAGATATGAATATGAAGAGATTGGTCCATCTAAATAGGGAAGGGGTTCCTACAACCAAGGAGTCGACATCGGTCTGTTCCGTCGCTGCTGTTCGCTCCCCTGCCATGGTGGACCGGTCCGGTAGGGCCCTTGACATGCCCCGGTAGGGCTCTTCACCTCTCCTTGCCATTGATGATCTCCTCAGCAATGCCTCAGACGCGGCTGTGTGCCGCGGTATGGCACAGCCGCACTCGGGTTTGGATCGTCTGGGCTGATTAACACAAGATCCCAACTGGCACTAGTAACAAGGGCATCGCTGCTACGAACGGAACAAAACTACGAACGTAGCTCCTGGCATTACTACTAGGAACAAGAAGCTACTACTATTACTATCAACTGCCTCAAGATGTTGAAATCTCCACCAAACAGTTTGGCTCTGTGGACGCACCAAACAATCTGACGGCTCAGTCAACAGCAGTCAGCAGTCTGTTACAACAGTCCTTGTGAATGGTTGAACTCCACAAGGCAACTGGTTGAACTCCACAAGTGAGACTGCGTGAACAAGAACCACTACTGAACCTGCTTTTTGGAAGCTCTAGCTGGGTGTGTAATTTAAAAAGGAAAACACCCAACCAATGGGTTTTGGTCTATGTTCCTTCTTCCAGGGAGTCATTGGCTGGGAGGTCCTCCTATTTTGATGCACACACAGCAATGGCCTGATTCAATTTGTGTCACACTTTTGTTGTCCATCAGCCAAAGTGGCACAACATGGTCAATGGTGTTTTGCCAAAAGTCCTGACAACCATCGCACGGTGGTGCTTGTGGCATCTTTGTTGCATTTCATGATACCACACCCAGACACTCCATGTATGCTATATATGCCTACATTGACCCCCCCCAAACCACCCGAATGTAGGCATATATTCCATACATGTAGTGTCTGGGACATGTAAGACCTTTATATCTTGCAATTAATGAATCTCATTAGTGAACTAGGGGCTCGGGTGCATAGGATAAATACGGGAAAGGGAGGTGAACACCATGGTTAAACACCCAATTCCCACATGGTTCTTGGCGCCCAGAAACGCCCTCCAAGAGCGACACACATGCGATTCTCCAAGAACTCCTGGCAGCGTCTGCCGCACAAGGTGGAGGGGTGTCTCTACTCCTGGTTTCAGCTCCCATCTTTTCACTGTGAGATACTGCAAGTGAGATATGGGCCCCTGCTGACTGAACTGCTGCCCTGCGATCAACTTCGGGTTTGCGTGGGAGCCCACTCACAGTGAATACGAACTAGAAGTACAAGGATCCAAGCGATTTGCACGGAAAGCCTGTCCAGGCCACAAATTCACGCATGTCGTCATGGCACTCTTGCTGGCCCAAAACAGATCACCAAGCCTACAGCAGGCACTCAAGAATCCACTTACCCCTTGCGGCCTCCCCCTTTATTAAACATTTAGAACAAACACACTCAGGATAAGTAAGTAGTTACGTACGATATGGTTGCGGTTACTCCCCTGAAACCAAAAGGTGGCCTCTGAATCCAAGGTGTACACTGACTTATCCATGGTGATCGTTTTTGACCCCCCAAGGACGCCCAAACGCCAGGCCCCCGCGTGTCTTGTTGGACGTGCTGTCTTGAGGCCTCCTTCGTCCTTGCCGCTTCGATGCTTCGTCTTCCGCCGTCCTTGGAGTAGAGTCCCGAGTTCAGGCGTTCCTCCGAGGGCATGAAGATCGTCACACCGCCTCCGGGTCCGAGATACGGGTCCGAGATACGGGTCCAAGGATGGAAGATGCACCAGCGATCGGGGCCGTGGGCCTCAGAACATGGGCGCTGGGACAATGCTGAATAGCGCAAATCAATGTCCTTTCAACCAGGCTTGACATGAATGCACCCAATACATGGGCTGTTAACACCAACAAACGAACCGATGGAACGAACCCAGTTCAACACACCGCTGAAAAGCCCCCCCGCCTGCCGGTCCCCGGGGCACGATGCTGATCTTGGCCACCACGTCGTAGTCGTTCATCAGGGCACCTTTTTTCGATTTGGTCACCGTATATCCGCTGGGTATCACGGTTTTGAGTATCCCAAAAAAAAGCATACTCGTCATCAACCAAGCAATGTACCCAAAGGCCATCTATAGATGGTCTTCCAGTCCGAGCACTCTGCAGCTTTGCCTTTTGGGGTCACACAGCCAAACATGCACATGAATCTAATTTGACCAAACAAGTTGTCAAATGCACCCAAAGTACCAAAGTATCAATTTGCACCCCAGGCATCCTAGTAGAAATGGCACAGGGCTCTATGGAACTTAATGTTTTTACCTTCAAAGGCCTTATCCACCCTCCAAGCCTCGGACATTCCCAGGCTCCGTTCCGGCTCTGTTTCCGTCGGACTGCGTCACAAACACGGTATCAACAAACAACCCAATCACACATCGATAAATGTTAAATAAGAATAAGAACTGTACATAAACATGGTTGCTCATGAGCAACGAAGAAAGCCGCAGTTTGAAAACGAACAGCCTGGCCAAATACACTTCAACTATTGAGATGACGACTTTCAAGATGTGGTGTCTCAGAGTGTCTCCACTGCTCTGGTGAACTGTGGTCAGTTTCGCCAGGGCACCCAGAATAGCATGACCAGCTTCGTGGTAGGCCACCAGTTTCTTCTTTTTCTCACTCATGACAGCCTTGCCATGAAGAATTGAATTGGAGAATCCGCATGACAATACGTTAGACTGTTGCTGTTGATGCAAGAAAATGACACGTTACTTGAAATATTGTATTGGCGGGAAGAACTAGTATTCACACTGTTTGGAGGAGGCTCAGTTATATTGAAAAACATGTTAAACGCATGTCCGCATGTCTGACTGGTACCGCACCAAGCGGCATCCTTCTTCTCCAAACCGATGGAGATGCGCTCTAAGGCATTGGCAATGTCCTCCAAACCGCACGGTGGGCTGAGACGATCGGAAAGCAGCAGCACCACAAACATGATGACATCCAGTTTGCAGTGCGGAGTCCGACCTTTCATTCAACAAGATCTCAAACATTCTCGAAGTCTCAAACAGTCTGAACATGTTCTCAGACTGCTTGCGATAATGTCAACCTAGGATTACGGAACCCCCCCC